AGACAAGTACCACTTTTGTCTAGTTTTTACTCTTATGCCCGTTCAGCAGCCAGGGTCCATATAAATTTGGTATAGTAACCAGTAAATCTCTCTTCTGAACTTGCTATGTGCTTACTCTAATCTTTCTAGAAACTCCAGTTCTTGTAGTTTCAGCCCATATGCTCTTCTTTCCTGTAGTGGTCTGGGAACAGAGAGCAGGAAATCAAATCAACTCTGAGGTCAAAAAAATGAGTGCTCTGAATTGAAGCTTGGGGGTATGTTCTGCATCCCAGGAGTCTTCACTTTTCTGCCTCTTTCCTTTCAGCTGGGGTTGTTGCAGCATTAGGTTGAAATTTTGAAATGTCACCGTGTCGCTAATGGTGAACAGACCTTACCTGCAGGCTCTGTGAAGTGAACCTGAATTAGGTGGGCATACATTTAAAGTAAGCTTCAGTAGAAGCAAAGGGGAAGCTGTAGAATTTCTGTGGCAAATTAGTAAAAGGAAAAAAAAGATCCACTAAACCCCACAAAACCCATAAAATGAAAAGGCTGCACTTTCCCTTGTGAAATCTACAAGCAAATTCCCTGGCTTTTTGGTGACGTAGAAAGAACTTTAACAAAAATTATTTAGGCCTGCTGTGCAGAAACATTTGACAATTTGACAGAAGTTTCTTTGGTTTTAATCCAAATAATGTGAAGTATGACCCATGTCCTCTGATTATTTTTTTTTTTTTAAATCTTACATGCTTTTCAAAGCTCAGTAAAATGGAATATGTATGTCTAAGTATGCCTTACACCAAATTGCCTTGGAAGTGCTCATAAATTACACATTTGCAGATGACAGCTCTTGCAGGTGAAGTGCCAAAGGGAGACGTGAGCAGCAATTGGATTTTCTGATTTCTGAAACATACAATTACTCTTGTATATAAAAGGAAGCCGTGTGTGTGCCAATACCGTATTAAGAGATGGAAATTAACTTACTGTCTTAATTTCACCAGGAAGGTCTGCATTTTGCAGATGGTAATGAATTCATTCTGTGTTTGCACTGACATACCACATCATCTTTAAGATCTGATATCACAGCTGCAGCGTAGCTGAAGCACACTATTGCTGAAGATTCTGGTTCGTGTTCTCAGCATTATGTTTCTTAGTTGCCTTAACCATGAAGTCAAATGGATATGAATTTCTGGAGACTTTAAGATACGATTCTTGGTTTTCCTGACAGAAGTAGTAATCAGTCTTCAGAGACTTTGTAGTTCTCCTGGGCCATGCTTGCCACAGAGTAGGATCCCCCGTGCTTTTTTCTGAATAGTTGAGGCAGACACAGAGAAAGGTGAAGGAGAGGAGGAGAATGAAATTACGTATAGCCGCCTCTCACTTGCTGCTTGACCACTGGCACCTCACAGCTTCTCAGCGCGTGTGATGCCTTCTCCTTTCAGCTTACTCGTTGTGTGTGCTGGATGCAAGGAGCTAGAGAGATGCTGTGCTGCTCTACAGTCTCTTAGAAGTATATGCTATTTTGCTATTGAAATGCATTACATATCAACTGGCAGAATGACATCAGATCAGGACATACCTGTTGGTCCATGGTTAACTTTTCCGTTATTCACCTAGTGCATCTGTAATGAGTAATGGACTTAATGGTATAAAAATTTCTAATAAGCTGCATGACTACATCAGCAAAAGACATGGCAGAACATGCATTGAAATTTGAATAAAATTAATCTGAGGAAAAAACTGCGCTTGTCTGAACTGAAATGTGAAAACTGCATGAATTAGAATGGCAGGTTTGGGTGCTTTCTTACGAATGAGAAACAGATTTGCAGTTACACCCTAACACAGTTAAATTCACAGCAATTAGTTCTGTCTGCTGGAATAATTTTTCTGGGTTGTTGTCTGTCTTCTGGTTACAATAGTAAGTCTGTCTTCCCTTCTTCTGTAGTCTCTGTGGGAAAATCTAAAATGATTGCTTGTTTAAAAAGGCTTTCCTGTAGTTGTAGGTGGATATTTTAATTTCAGGTGAAGCTGATACTTCAGATACCTACCTCAAGCCAGAGGCATGCCTCGCCTCCTGTGTGGTGAAATGTAGTTTTAGGGCATACTTACAGAAGTTGTTAAGACCTTGTTAATTTTACTACAGTACAGAAAACACCTTTATGGGAAAAATGAGGAGATACTTCAAGGACAGTTTTAAAATACTGACAGCTGAGATGTATTTGTGCCACAGTTCCTGTTTGATTGATAGGAAAAAGATTTACTTGAAGATTTAGTTATAGATATAGTTATATATATCGATAAGATCTGCGTTCTCATAGACGCTATTAAATATTTAGATTCAATGCTTCCTTCTAACCAATTGTTCTGGATATGTTGGGGTATTTTTCTTTTTGGTTTGGTTTTGGAAGGACCTGGCAAATTGCATTTAAAAAAAGTTGAAAACTTTATATCACCGATGAAGAGTTTCAGAAATTGTGCGATACCTTCCCTGTAGTGCAAAGGGATTTCTGTGGGACAGGTCTGAGATTTAAGAGACCAACAAGGCTGAGGGAGTTGGCTTGACAAAAGCATAAGGGTTTAGTGAGAACAAACATATCTTTAGTGGAACCAGGAGAAGTGATGGAGGTTTTTGTTGTACCCTTGTGATCATTGCAGTCTCCAGCTGCCTGGAGGCTTCTGTTGCCAAAGACCCTGTTGTAATTGTTCATCTTCTAAATTCTTAAAAGCCAACCACAGATAACTTGCACATATGGATTGAAGTGGTATTTAGCCCTCTGTTTTTGTAAGGTATCCTTAAATAAAATGTTGATAGATTGGTTATTCCCCCCCTTTTTATATGATGTTTATATCTGATGGTTGACAGAATCAGTTTCAATTAATAAACAGGCTCTTGTTACAAAAATATTATGCTATTATAATATGATATCCTCAGAGCAGACATGAATTAGAAGATACAGAAAATGCAGATGAAGAAGACTTTTGAGTAGCTAAAGGGTGAAAACATCTTAAGTTTTTAATGCAAACTCATATTTAGCATTCTTCTTGTGGCTTTGGTTTTTGGGGTCTTCTCTCCTCCTTGCCAATTTTTTTTATACCAAAAGCTTACTTTCCTTATAATTAAAATACAGGTCAGTATTTCAGCCTTCAAAATCTGTAGATTCTGTATATTTTGGTCTGTGATTTACCATTTTAATATTAAAGAAATTTATCTAAACTGTGAAGGATTCAGGCTCTTTTCACTGAGGCCACCACATATTTGTAAATATTCCTTCCCCTTCTTCATGCACCACATAATTGTCTGTCAGAGGCTGGATTCGTTATTTCAGGTCATCCTTTAAAGCTTGCTTTTTTCCATATTTTCCCTTTCCCTCTCTTCTGGGGCGAAATGTCTGACAACAGCTGTTCCTAGTTAATCTGTTAAGAGAATCTTACATTTTGAACAACAGTGTTTATGTGTGAGGCTTATTATGCACTCATAACTTCCAGTGGGTGAATTTTGAATAAGATAATTTTGATTCAGCAGTCATTTGGGATTCTATGCATGCTTTTAGGTGGGAAAGGAGGGCAAAAATATGCAAAGTGCCCATGGAAATAATAATGAGGATAGTGCCCAAAGAAGCAAAAACTGGGAGTCTTGGAATTCTTGCTGGTAGTTCAGCAGAGAAGATTCTATGTAGTAGTTTAATAGCAGAGAATATTTCTTTTCTAGAAGGCTTTATCGACTCAACAGAGGAAAGAAACGGTGCTCTTAGAGGCTTTGGTTCCAGAAAAGGCCATTTTCTGTGCTGGCTGTTACTCTTCGAAGTGCAATGAAAACCTTTCCACTAATCATCTGGCTCCATGATTTCATGTCTTCCTGTCCTCTCTGCCCTCCTGCCAGAGTTCCCAAACCTGCAGAGACACAAGCAGCGTAACTGAAAGCATAAACGTAAAATGGGAAGTTAACAGCAGCAAACGTGGCCTTTATCTTTGCTAAGAGGGTGTGTGTGCCACCACCTCCGCAATGCTGTAACTGTTAGGACTGTTCTGAGAGTCAGGGATAGTTTGATTACTTAGATCCAATCTAAAATAGTGGTTTCAGGAAACTTCATGGCTTTCTCAAATAAGGGTGAAAACCTGGCATAATGCAATAATGCAGTGGTGAGATACACCAGTTTCAGAGTGTAATATTTGTGACCGTAGTCCTAAAGCCCAGGTTTTCAGTTCAGTTCTGGGAAACTTCACACGTGCAAGTGCGCTAGTGTTGTAAAGGCGATACAGCACTTAGCTACCTGGTTGCTGTCTCATGTAGCTGTGGTCACACTTGAGAGAGGAGAACTGTGTTTTGTGGCCAGCTTGTTGGATGTCGATTCCGCAGGATTTAATTAGATTACCAGACTTTTTGTTTGGTTTTTAGTAGTGTAATCTAGTAAGCAACCTAAAAGATAGGAATATGAAGGTATGGAGGCTAAAATCCAGTAACGAATATGAGGTGCTCAGATGGTTTCATTTGGAAAGCCACTTAAGTATGTAGGAAATTAAGAGTTTAAGTAGCCTATTTCTCTTCACAGACAAGGGGTTTTCATCTGATGAGAATGAGCAGGTACAGAAATGTAAGCAGATAAAGAAAATGAATGAACAGGTAGAAGTGGAAAAGGGCAAAGAAAAAGTAGTTTGTACCTAGAATGGTACTGCTTCCCGTAGATAAAAGGTTATTTTTGATAGAGGATGTGCTCTGATGCTTGAGCAGTTTCTTTCAAGGAGTTTGTCCCTGGAACCCATTGTCCAGTAATGAACAGTCTGGGGTGTTTGTGTCTAAATGCCTTAAGTGACGGATGTGGTGGATGCTTACACTTTTCATAGGGAACAAATGCATAAAGGGTTCAGTGTTAAATTTTGAGTTGTGTTATTTGTGGCACTAATGGCTTTGCAGTTTTTCGAAGCAGCTTATGTGTATCTTTATAGTTGCCAGAATCCTATTGCCAATAAAATATTAACAGAGTTTCTCTGATTGTTTTAGAGGTGTCTTTGATGCTTCCCTCAAAATGGCTGGGTTCTATGGACTCTACACTTGGCTGACTCACACTATATTTGGGATTAACATAGTCTTCATACCATCTGGTAAGAATCTGAACAATTATAGTTATTTATAGATAATATTACATAATTATTTATCGTAGGAGATCAGTAGGATGTTATGTTGCTGGTAAGTTTAGTCTTGATGTTATTTTTAGAGAATGGCCATGGGTAGGGTGGAGAGAGGTCCCTGGTTGCTATCTTACCTCTAAGCCCTGCCTTCTTCTGTTTTCACAGCTATTTTACTTCTGTCTGTTTCTTTTGCTGGATGTACTTCTTTCTCCCTTCTGTTCAGTCCAACTCTTTCCAGGTTTTAGCTTCATTCTGCCTGCCTTGGCTTTTGCTTCTTCTGTAGTTGAAAGGTGCTGATTTTTCAAGGTGCCTAAATGCAGGAAGATGTGGTATCATAAAAATGCACGATAGAGGTGTGCTGCTTATTCTCAGTACTGTTGCCTGACAGTATTACCAGCCTCTGGTTTTCTGTTAGTCTTTAATCTTAGCTTTGGAAATGGCTGAACAGTTTCCACTGAAAAATCTTCTCCCCTGTTCCTCTTTTGCCTCTCTTCCCCTAATAATAATAATAATAATAGTAATTTTAAAAATGTTGTACCTTCATGTATGGGGGAACAAAAGGGGAAGCTGTAAAGCAACCAATATATTGGGGGAAAATCCCTCAATATTAGGAAATGGCTGTATTATAAAGTGATGCTACCTTAAAGGCACTGGTTGTTGTTAGATCTACACAGAAGATAATTGTTCTTTTTCTTTCAGCTACATGCAGAATCTTAAAAGGTTTTTTGCTTTCTGGTTAATGAGACCAAAAACAAGAAAAAAAAAAACAGAATTATTTTTTGTATTATGTTCCTGTTGCATTAAATTAGAATGACAGCAGTACTGCCTCACTTTAGATTAAAACAGGTGTTTGTAAAATCAGAAGGGTGTAAGCCTGTGTGTACCTGTGTGCATACAGAAATACCTAAGAGATGGGGTTTATATTTGCCTGGTTTCTGACGGCACTACCTACATTATTATGGTTGACTGCAGGAGATTCGTATGTTACAATGAGGCTTCTGTGTGTATACTTTCTTGCACACGGTTGCCAATTTGTAGTTATGTAAAAGTTTGAAATGTGCGTGATTGGAATAACTCTAAATTTTTCTGAAGCAACTCCTTATGACTGATGGTGAGACTTTTCTGTATGGGCAATAGTGTAGTTTTCTTTTTTTCCTGAATAACGGCTGTAAAGCACCAAGAGCCTTATGTGGCGCTTCTTCAGTTCTTATTTACGGCAGTTGAGAGAAGTGCAGCGAAAGTGTCAGAATTTAACTGTAAATACATTTGTGAAATACGTTTCTCTGATCTTTTTCTCACCTCTGCTTCTGTGTGCTCTAGCATTAGCAGCAATCCTGGGAGCAGTGCCGTTTTTGGGGACGTACTGGGCAGCCGTCCCTGCAGTCCTAGATTTATGGCTCGTGCAAGGACAGGGATGCAAAGCCATTTTGCTCTTGGTTTTTCACCTCTTGCCAACCTATTTTGTAGATACAGCAATTTATTCAGATATATCAGGGTAAGTACATTGAAAACTTTTTAAAGTTAGTATTGTAAAAGTGCTTAACGATCATCGATGCCTTTAATTAAACTTACTTTTCTGAAGCATGCACGACAGTATCTTCAAGCTTAGAAATGTGTAGCGACGTCACCTCGTAGTAAGAAGTCTTGCTGACCTAACTGCCTTTACTTTCCCCGGCCTCTTTTCTGTGAACTTTGTCACTCCGGAGGTCTTGAACTTCTTCTTAAAGTCAGCAAAATCAACTGTTTCAGTTGGCAAAGTGATTCTAAGAATACCTTTACTATTTATCTAATCTTTTGACTAAAGATGAGTAGCATTTTCCTTTACATCACCTAATGCCAGATGATGCAGAAGAATAAAAGAGAAATCCATGAGCTAGTTAGGGACCTGAAAAAAACACATTAATTTTTCAGAATGGATTGTGAGAATTTTGAGGCTTTTTTTGAATCCAGCCTTTGTGTTGTGTCACCATACCCCAGTGTAAAAATCTATCGATTATGGATTAATTTTTAAATGTGTCGAGACATCAACTTGCAAAACTGGAGGTAGACTTCTGCTGAGACAGCAGCCAGTGCTGTTTTCTTGTTGTGGGAGGTAGGCACAGATCTCTTCAAAAAGCTCACTAGGTGTTTGGCTGCCTCTGTTGACTTGAAATGTCTCGTGGTTTCAGCTTTGAGTTTGTACACAGAGAAACTCCTCCAAACCAAAGTCAACTTTGGCAGTGTATCTGGAGCGCAACTGAAATGTCCACTGACGTTTTCTGCTGCTGAAATATCTATGAATATTGATGTATATGAATCCCTTCGTGCAGTTCAGACTGGAAGATAAAGCAGCGCTGTTTAACAGAGCTGGCAAAGATACAAACTGTCAAGCTTCATATGTGCAAGACATGTTCACAGCCGTGTACAATATAGGTATAAAGTTGTACTCCTCTAGTTACTGCTTCAGTCTTGATCATCAGAAACAATCCTAGTAAACTGTTTGAATTGAGGACTTCGTGGTCCAGACTTAGTTACATGCTGGTACTAGTCCCTCATTTGTGCTGATTTATAGTAGAGTTAATGTAGAATAAGGACATTAAGTGTTTCAGTTCTGTGTTAAGTTAGAAATTAATATTTTTGTTCACCAAATGTAATTACACTGAGCAGAGAGAACCTAATGATAATATGCACAGTATTTGTAATAATTTCCATAGACTGTGGCACTAGTGATTTCGCATGAAGTAAAGCTAACAGGTGAAGTATAATCAAATTAGGATTTTCTTCCAACAGTAAATTGTGGATAAATTTAAGGCTGGTAGCTGTTTAACCAGCCATTAACTCTTTTACTTATTAGAATACATTTTTTGACTGTAGGGGGTGCAGGCTCTGTTTACTCTCAAGAAGATACATGTGGCAGGAATGGATTTTCTGACAGTGGAGCAAAATTGTATTCTTCTCATTAAATAGAACAGTAAGCATCATGCTGTCTTGCAGACTAGATTACATCTATTTGAAATAGCTATAATTAAGTTATGCAGGGTTTTCCAAATGCATTAAAGTTATACTGTAGTCCTATTTCATCAGGTGATCTGTTGTTTAATTTAGCAAAGTAGCCAGAAGAACGTTTCAACAGATGCAAATTCTGGAAAAAAAAAAAATACTTGAAGTTTTTAAAGGTTTAGAAATCAATCATGTGTCTACTATTGGAGAAACATTAAATTTTAAGGTCAAGTCTGTCTCCTCAGAAAAGCAATCTGGCCCTACCAGTAGGTTAACTTTGATCTAGGTAAGACATGACTGAGGTGTGTAAGATGTCATAGGTCTCATGGTTCACAGACTCATTCCGCACACAGTTGTGATGAAGGCAGAGACTGCCAGTGTGAGAGCTGGGTAGAAGTCAGAACCGTAGTGGAAACCTGGAGAAACTGCCAGAGCTCTGAAGTGACTAGCTGGTATTTTCACTCCATTACACTCAGAATTTAGAGCAACTTCCTGAAAATTGGGTGCTAAGTTTCAAGTGTAGCTTTTCTTATATAATTCCATGTTACCATCATTATTTTAGCTATAAAGATTAAGCGTGATGAGCAGGCTTTGTGTAAATGCTGGTGATAAGATCCATGTTGTGCACCCGGACTGAAACATGGAAAAGAACAACGACGTGGCTTACTTGCTGCCGTGATAGCTCTTATCGAAAGCTCTGCTGGCCCCAACTTTCCAGTAAATATTAATATGTTCATAGAAATCAGGTTTTGTTTTTCATCTGAAAACATGAAAAGCTAATGATAACAAACACTCAACCTGAGAGGTTGTTTTGTAACAAAACGAGAAGACATGGCTGGTTATTTAGGGAATATATGCTAACTGTTCTTCGAAAGGTGCAATGCAAGTTGCTGTCACTGTGTAAATGAATGTCTTTACTCAGGGGGGCTTATAGTACATGTTGATAGCTGTCTCAAAATTTAACAATTCTTGACCCTAAAGCAGGAGCAGCCTTTGTAATCAATCATCTTTCTGTTTTCAAAATGGAGATGGTTTTGCCTTTAACTCCTTCAGACGTTCTTCAGCAGATGTCTGTAGAGTAGCTGCTCCACCGTGTTATATGCCACAATATGCTGTTTGATCTGTTGTGCAAAGCTAGCGCAGAATACAGCGTGCAATATTTGTGCAGTCCTTCAAACAGCACTTATGGTGTGAATGTGGGTATCTATAGCTAGCCATGTCATTGTCTAAGCTTAACAAAACTTATGATTAACTCACGTTTCATAATCAATAGTAGTGTTGTTTGTTGTTCTTAGTTTAATTCTGTTCTGCTTGTGCCATGATTCCAGAGGTGGCCATCCTTACCTGACAGGTCTTGCGGTAGCTGGTGGAGCATATTACCTGGGACTGGAAGGAGCCATCATAGGACCAATTCTACTTTGTATACTTGTGGTTGCTTCCAACATATATAGTGCCATGTTGGTGAGTCCAACAAATTCAGTGCCCACTCCATCACAAGCAGCGTGGCCATTACAGATTTACCGGTAAGTTATGAAAGGCTTACATGTGTACGTTATGTTTCTCCGTGGATCAGTGTATGTACGCGTGGGTATAGAGGTCATGTGCCTGAGTTTTGTATGTGAGTGTGCCTACACATCTGCATGCCTAGTGAAGTGTTTGGAGAGGATTCAGCTAGCCTATATTATAGAAATAAAAATTATGGTAAAGTAAAATACTCATTAGAACTTGTAAACTTGAAATGCTTGTTTAATGTCACTCAGCTTCTTTTAAAAGAAGGCTCTTTTAGAAAATTCACTGATGATACCTTTGTTTCCTATAATTCATGTGTTGCCGTTGTGCTAGGAGATGGTTGAACATGCTTTTTTCTGTGTAAAACTATTACTCATGGATATCTAATAGTCAGTGTTCATCGTCCTTAATAAGAGGCATTTTTATGTGGTACTGTACAATACTGCAAAATACAAACACACTTGCATTTAAAAATTATATGCTGTTATTCCATTAAGAGTGTGATCTTGATTAGTCTCTTTATTGAAGTTACTGAATGTGGAATATGGAAATGTATCTTTAAATTGTACAGTTAAGGAATGGGATGAATAAAGTCTTAGTTGAATACTTAATTAGAGTTGGAAGTCGTATTGTGAAGTTATTAACGACAGTAGCCATTTTAGTGTCTCTACTGTCTTGTTCAATTACATAGGTTAGCTCATTATACATGCATCTTAAAGAGGATTCTGGGCTTGTCAGAAATAATCCTTTGCTTCATTCACATGAATAATGTTATCATCTTTCATATGGGTAACTTAGGAGAAAAAACACTGATTGGACCTGTCTGTGGTCTCTGACTTATAGAAGTTACCTTCCAAGACTTTCCTTATACGCCGTAGATGGAGCTTCCCACTATGCACAAAAATCTGCACGTGTGTTTGTTGCCTGTTTGATTTGTAGGAAACTAGGTGTTCGTAATCACTCAACAGATTTGAGTCTTACCTTTTTTTTGCGCCCCCCCCAGGTCATCTAGAGAGAGTCCTGAGGAGATGAAAATGGCTGCAGAGTGATAAAGGTGCTGTGCTGCACCTACTCAACGTGAGAGAATCGCTGTCTTCTGTCCTGAGCTCACAACAGCGATGGCCTTCTGTCCCTGTCCAGCTGTGCCTAGGGGCAGCTCACAGGGAAGCATAGCTTGGGTTTTAGGAGAAACCACTTCTTGAACATCTGCTGGCCTTACGTCATTGTGCTCTTTGCCTCTTCAAGAAGAATGTCTACTTCCCACGGCTTCGCATACTAACACACAGTTCAACTGCCTTGTTGAAGACCTTGAAGACCTTCTGTCCTCATGAAAAGAATAGTTAAGAGGACTAGTATATCCACTGGAGTCGTCATCTGCTGAAATTACTAATTTGGCTTTTATTTATTGGGTTATTTGTGTTACTAAATTGTAGTAGCTTTAAAGAAAGTTAATCCCAAAATACCTATTCTCAGTAATCTGGTGGCAAAAAAGGTGTAAACCACTCATTGTTAAATAAAAATAGAATATAATTATTTGCTGCTCCTCAAAGCATTTCTTTAGAGGCTTTGAGCATCATCTGTAACTCATAATAAGATTTAAATATTATCCTCGTATATGCACTGAATTTAATGTTGTTGGAGACAGATATTTCTACTATCTTCCTGAAATTAGTAGACACGCAAATTGTTAAACGTGGTTTTTCCTCGTATTGAAATAAGAGGACTTGTTTAAATAGTTTAAATCTTGCCCTCATTTGCAGTGAAATCTGATAGTATTTTTGCTGTTTACCCGTCATCCCAGTGGAATCATCTTGTCAACTAAATTTAATCAAATACCTTAAGTGTTTTTCAGGCAGAGGTAATGTACGATTGTCACGTCTGCTTCCAGTAATAGGAAGAAGTTGAACCGGGATTGTTTAATGTTGTTTTCAAATGCTGTGGCTGAGTTCAATTAACTTTTCAAACAGATTGAAGTTTATTTCCAAAAAGGAAGGGGAGAGAGCGTGGATTTTCATTTAATTTAGTTTGTTGTTTTTTTCCCCTCTTGCCAAATATCTTAATAAGATATATCTTACCTATTAAGATATAGCTTAATAATAAACAGAGTTCTTAAATTCCTGGAATGGTGTGTTGCCGAGGTCACAGCATCATACTCGTCTAGTGCTTTTCTTCCATATGTAATTTTGCTTAAATTGCATTTTTGGTGACATTTAAGGCCTTTTGTATTGATTGTTGGAGTATTTTGACACAACGGATCTTTATAAATGGATCCTTTTTATAAATAGGAAGTGGGGGTTTTGGTAGAAATTTCATACTTGAGCAGCTTTTCCACAAGTACAGTGAGGCCCTGGGTACAAAGTAGCAGATGCACATGCTGAACCAAAGAACCACCTTGCAGTTTCTAGTAACTTCTCTTTAATTTAGTGCAGAGTTTGATTGATAATGAATTATACAAAATACAGGCATGCCTGGCATTTACTGTTGACAGTAATGCAACTGTTGGATTAGGGATAAAGGATGTCTTAAGATTTGTGTACAAATCTCTTGGTAACGTAGATGTTTGTTTTACTGGAGTTGCAGAAGTGCTGATAAATTTGGAAGGCTCTTAATTTCATGATATCGCATGTATTTTTACATTGTTTCTGAAAATAGACTACCATAGAAAGGGATTGGAAGGCACTCTGATACTAAGCAAGAAAGTCCTGCTCTAGGTTTGCGATAAACAGGCTGCCTGTTAGGACACAAATAGCCACTCTGGGCTCTCAGAGTGAGCTGCTGCAGTTCTACAGGTGAAGTGTTGTACTTAAGGGGGGGGGGTTTGACTCCGCTGGTTTTACACTTGCAAACTTGCAGGTATGTGTTTGGAGCACAGACTCATAATGTAGTGGTTTGACTCAAGTTCGTTGATAGATGGAAACACCCCATTTAATATTTTAAATTCTGAAAGATCTACACATCGGTTCCAACAACTGAGTAGGAAGGACACATTGCTTGAATTAAGTGACTGTCCTGTGGTTTTATTTCCTTGCTTTTGTGGCTCATGTAAAATCTTTAATGAAACACGTTTTTATAATTGTTGCTGGCTGGGGCGGAGGATGACAAAGAACCCGAGGCTGTCCCTAGGTATTCCTGCAGCGTTCTAACCAGCTTGAATGAGACCACTGTGACACTTGGGGAAGTTCTCTATTATTTTTTTTGTTTCACAGTTTTGCACTGAAATGTTGTGTTCTCCTTATAGCTTCTTGTAGGCAGCACCTGAAGAAGATTGCTAACAGGAAATAGGCATCTTTGCATTTCCAGTTTTCCATTGCTCCTGTTCGCTCACTGGTCAAGACATTTCTACTGTCCACATTTGCTATCCCAGTTGTTTCTGAGACAGTCTTTCAGATTCCTGTGATACTCAACACAGTCTTAAAGAGTCGATATAAAGCATTCTTTTATTTGTTTTTAAGTCTTCCTCCTCTTCTTCCCCTTTCACCCGACTTCCTTAGATGAGAGAAGGGTCTGCTGCGAAGATTAAAATGTGTTTCAGACACAGTTATCTTCAGTACTGGCAAATCAGTAGAATCAGCTGAGAAGATATGTTGCTATTTTGACACGTTCTTTTCCCAACATGAAGAGAAATCATTTTGTATAGAGAATTCATATCTGATGTGGTCTTGTTAGTTTGCCTTCCTCTGAAATGAGGCTTCGTATCGATGCTGCCTGTTCCAAATTCAGCTAAGACTTGTGGTGAAGAACTATCCGTAGAACAGTCTTTCCCAGTAAATGCAGCTTAAAGGAGCTCATGCTGCCTGGCTGAGGAACCTGTTGTGTCCTTCAGTGGTGGTACAGTAACGCCACACTGCCAAAAAGAAAAGAAAAAGAAGAAACAAAACCTCCAAGAATACCTTCTTAGAAGATGAAATATTCACTGAATTTTGACATGTTTAAAAAAAACCACCACAAAACACCACCTTATGAAAAAGCATACCTTGATGATTTAGGGGTTGTCTTTGTTAAGTGTCTGATTACCTGTAGAAACAGAAGATCTTCTCCTTGCATATTTAACAATCTATATTCGTTTCTGAAAAGGCTCAGCCTTTTTAGGAAGTTTAGATCAGTCTCACATTAATGTGAAAATAATCAAACTGGTCACATACCCTTTTCTGTAGTGCCATTAGTTTTCTTAGGAGAGACCATCTTTTTCATAATCACAGAATCACAGAATGGTTTGGCTTGGAAGGGACCTTGAAGATCATCTGCCGTGGGGGGTTGGACTAGATGCTCATATGCATAATGCCGATAGGCAAGAAGTTGATGGCCTTTAGCTTTACTGCAAGCGGTCGTTGCAGGAGCAGGTATTCACTGGTGTTTAGTACGTGTAGTATTCAATTAGAACAAAACCAATTTGGAATTCAGAAGGGAACGCTTGTAGTAAGCCAAGACATGGTATTGTAAAGTATGACTGTGCTGGTTTTTATTGTTCTCTTTGAGCAGATCGGGCTTGTGGCCAGTGGGAGGGGTGCCAGAGGGCTGCCGGTAACTTGTTTCTCGCAGCGAGCCTGTCAGCCCTTCCTCCCCTGCCTGTACCTTAGCTGAACGTCCCTGTGCTGTAGCAGAGCTAGCAGAAGTGAATGCCTGCCACTCCTCAGCCCAGCACGGTAACTTCAGGTCGCTGGAAGTACTGGCTGAATTTGGATACGTGAAGCAACAAACTGCAGCGGGCGAGGATCTGGCACACGTTCGTTTTGCCAGCCTTCCTGCGATGTGGTGACTTTCAGCACAGGTGCACCGTGACCAGTGGGGAGCAGTGATGACTTATGTCGAAGACTGCCTTTTTTTTTTTTAAATAGAAGTTTAACGTTCTAGTCCCACGTACAATATACTTTGTTCAGAAATTGATACCCGTGTATCTGATAATGCAGACAGCAGTCAGGTGTTGCTGTGCGCAGCGGTATGTATTTGCAGCTCACCCAGGGTACATTTAGGCTCATCTGATTTCAAGGACTGTGTGGCTTCTCTTCAAGACTTTGGGGAGGAAGGTGTGCGTATTTTGTCAGTGATTATTGGATTAGGAAATCCACAATCTGTTTAATTAAACAAAATAAGAAAAAAAAGCATCCTGTAGGGGAAGTTGGATGCTGTCTCAAGTATTATACATTGTGGGTATCAGTGTAGCTTCTGAAATAGGTGTATGACTGCAGTGTTAAACATTGTTTTTCAGAGAGCCTGAAAATACAAAACTGGATAAAATTGTTCCCCAGTAAAAGCAGCAGCAGAATTGCTATGCTGCTAGTCCCTGGTACTGGGATACTGCAGAGTGCTGCCTTTCCTACACACTCATAGACCAAGGGTGGGAAAATACCATCATTCTCCTGAGACTCGATAGCTTCGCATCAGCATTAGAAGACGCTCCTACAGTTTCCTTTACTCAAACATGGTGTTTGTAAGATATTGGCTGAAGTTTGCCACTGCAGATAGTGCCACCTTTATGGATACTACCATTAGAGCTGGCTACAGCTTCCTTCCGGAGGTGCTGAAAGCTGTTGGGGTTGGAGTTACTATTCATTGTGTTTAATAATGGAGGTAGCATTCTTCTTCTAGAGAGGCAGTTGTTGTTGCCTTGAAGTTTGTATTTTACAAGAGAAAATTGATTTCCCAATTAAATAACCTGTAGTGAGTGACAGCTGGCAATTCTTACATCCATGGATGCATCATCTTTATGAACTATCTTGGCTTGTGTTTCAAAGGGTTTCTTCTTATTTCTTACACTTTTTGGCGGAGCATCCTTTGGCAATTCCCTTCTTATTTCTATTTCTACAAAACTAGAATTGCCTAAAACTCTTCACAAACGTTAGGGAGGCTTGATCTTTAACCTGATACTGTTTTCTGTCACTTTTAGTAAAATACCTTAGTGCTTTATGGTAAAGCTCTCCAAAATTACTTTTAAGTGATAACATTGGAAATTAAAAGAAAACAACAGTGCAATGTGGGAAATGAACTTGGTATTTTGAAACCAGAAACAATGCTAGAAGTGATGGGCCTATTCAGGGATTCTGCATTGGGTTTGTATGTATCGGTATGCAGCGTCGTATAAATACAAGCAATGTCTGTCCTATTCAGACTCAACTGAAATTTTGTCCTTTTTTTTTTTTTTTTAAGATATCTGAGAACGAAATAGTGCCTGTATATAGTGAAAATGAGCAACGTTTTCTAGAATTATGTTTACTTGATAAAGGTTAGGGAAGAGCCAAGCAAATACTGGTCGGGTGACTGGAAGTGTTTTGTTGTAGTTCATATAATGTTG